AAAAAAAAAAAAAAGAGAATTTTTCTTCTCTGCTTCTTGGTCTTTGGGGTGACAGTGTGTATTAAAACAGGCTAAAGCCCAAGCCTGTGTCGGGCCACAAAAGGAGACCTGAGCCCAGTCGACTGAAAACCTTCGGTTTTTGGTTTTTTTCTTTGGTTTTTTTCACGAAATCCGACCCTTTTAATCCTTAATTCCTTATACTTACAGAGTCCGCTGCATCTCAAAAACCCCAGTAGGAGGTCGCGATTCAGATTCCCGGAGAGAGGAAGGAGAAAGAATCAAGAAACTATGGATAGAGAATGGGGTTCCAAACCCGGTTCTGGAGGAGCCGCCTCCGCTCAGAATGAAGCCATAGATCGACGAGAGCGTCTCCGTCGCCTCGCCCTCGAGACCATCGACCTTGCCAAAGATCCCTACTTCATGCGCAACCATCTCGGAAGGTACATGCTTTTTCTCTACGATTTTTTTTTTTTGGGTGGGTTTGGTTTACCTTTTGGTATTGGTTGTTAATTTTGCTGTTCTTCTCTATTGTGTTGTAGTTATGAGTGTAAGCTGTGTCTGACGCTGCACAACAACGAAGGGAACTACTTGGCGCATACTCAGGGGAAGCGCCACCAGACCAATTTGGCGAAGAGAGCTGCGCGCGAGGCGAAGGAGGCTCCTGCTCAGCCCCAGCCCCACAAGCGTAAAGTCTCCGTGCGCAAGACAGGCAAGTTTTTGAACATGTGTTTTGGTTTGTTCTTTTCAATTTTGTGGGATATACTATGTCCTTTTGTGTGGTAGTTTCGATTTTGATGGATACTCAGAAAATTGAATCAGTATACATTTGAAAACTTAATAACAATGGAATGAGCAAATTCTAGGAGGATTACTAATTCTTGAATGGAGAAGATGATGACTGTGGAGAACATGGGCGTTAGAGATAGCTTATTGAATTATATAGATCTCAGAACAATTATTTCAGATACATCTATGCATAGCTGTTTAGGGTTTATTATATTTTGGTTTATGTTCGATTTTCATTAATGTGTTATATACTGATTACCTGCACTCAATCTACCATAAGCATTGCATGTGACCTGTAGCCCTAACTTGCCCATTTTGCAACTCTCTTAAGTCTTAAAGAGCCAGAGTTTTGTTTCTTCCTATCTCCTCCACTGAATATATTGACAAATCTATATATTTATTGCAATATTTGGCTTTACATGTTCTTGTGAAATGCCCTTGTTCTCTTTTTGAATTAATGACGTGCATTTTTGTTTTTCATGCAGTCAAAATTGGTAGGCCTGGGTATCGTGTGACAAAACAATATGATCCAGAGACAAAGCAGAGATCTCTTCTCTTCCAGGTGCAATTTATGAATAATTCTAGTTAGGTTGTATGTTTCTAAATTGATACCGTTGATGGGCAATGACAATTTGGTTTTCATTTCCATCATTCCATGGCAGATTGAATATCCTGAGATAGAAGACAATACCAAGCCGAGGCACCGTGTTATGTCATCTTATGAGCAGGTTGGTGGTCAGTTCTTTCTTTAATTTGAGCTCTGGATGCAACTTCTTTTGTCAAGTGCAAAATATAATTTGTTTTGGTTATTTTTTACTTGAATGCAGAGAATGCAACCTTTTGATAGGAGATACCAGTATCTTCTATTTGCTGCAGAACCATATGAGATCATAGCTTTCAAGGTAATTACATGTTGCCTCATATTCTCTCAATTTTCATGTAAGTTCCATTAAATATTCACATTTGCTTCTGTTTTACTTTTCAGGTCCCCAGCACTGAGATTGACAAATCCACTCCCAAGTTCTTCTCACATTGGGATCCCGATTCCAAAATGTTCACGGTTAGTTTCTTTTGTGCTAAACTTTTGCTGCTTAACATCATTGTTTCTCTTACTTATTATTAGTTTCATTCTTGCGCTTCCTTTCCAGACTAAACATGACCTGTTCCTGCAGAACCTATGGATCATTTGTTAGTGGTTGGTCTAAAGAGCACTGATTCTTGGAAATTTTCATTGATTTTATCTGACTATTTTTTGGTTTTCATCAACTTGCAGCTGCAGGTTTATTTCAAACCCAAACCACCAGAGGCAAACAAACCTCAGTCTGCTGCTGCAGCCAACGGAACTGCAGCTCCAGGTGCTCCTGCAAGACCTTTACCCCCGCCACCTCATGCTCCACCACCTCCACCTCCTCCACCACAAGGGTTGCCAAATGCTCCCAGAGCCCCACTACCTCCAGTTTCTGGTGCACTACCTCCTCCACCACCTATGATAAATGGCCCTAGGCCTATGCCACCTGGTGGAACTGCACCTCCTCCACCCTTACCTCCTGGAGGTAGTGGAACAATGTCAAATTTCCCTCCCAGGCCTCCAATTCCTCAAGGTTTTCCTGGTCAACAGATGCCACCACCACCTCATAATATGGGGCAGTAGGTCTCCAGCCATCCATCTCTTGCTAGGCATATGTCCATGAAGCATCTTGCAAATTATCAAACTCATGGAAGAAAGCATGATGTGGTTCAGATTCAGAAATGTGATCAAGTTGTATACTGGATTTATTAATTGATTTAAGTGGCTTTTGCCCGTCGGGGTGATATAATGTTTCAGTTCTTTTGATCTCTAGGTTTTGCATTACCATGCTTTAAAACCTCTTCCTGTATTAATGCTGCAACTGCTGTCAAGAGTTTCGGTTCTGATAATACATGCACATCTTGATTTTGTTAATGACATATTCTATTTATCTTGCCGAGAAGGCATTGTTTACATTCAGACAAGTAAAAAGATTGAATTTGACCACTTGCATTAATGCTTGTTCATGGTAAAATTAGTGATTAGAATGCTTCTTTTACATAAATTCTCTTCTTTTTGGTGGTTTGATAGGTTCACAGGGGCAAGTGGGCTAGGGCAGAAGGGTAGTGCTGAAGCTGTAAGCTATGTAGTTACTTACACTACCATTCCCATTCATTTCATAATTTTTAAACCCTGTTGCTTCTCTTTAGAGACACAGCTCCTATCTGCAATTATGCCTAGAATGAATGGAAAAAGGAACTAAAAAAAGGATAGAATAAGACACTGCAAAATTTA